TACCACTTGAGCCACAGGACTACTTCTGGCTTTTTCTGCTTATGTGGTGCTGAGGAATTGAACCCAGAGCCTCATGCATGCAAGGCAAAAACTCTACCACTGAGTCACCTTCCCAGCCCCAGGATCTCACAATTTCCTAACAAATTTTGGAATGAATTGTGAGGAGGGGTTGTGGATTTTGTTCTCTGGAGACCTTTTACCAAGCCTGAGCTAATTAGTTGTGGACCTGCTTTAAGGCAAGGGATAGATTGAGTAAATGATGATCTGAAAATACCTTTTGTAATAGACTCATGGTATGTATGACTTAGTATACAGATTTATCAAGTCTGTGATGAATTGTTTTGTTTTTGAGACAGAATCTTACAAAATCTTACTTACAGGCTGGACTTGAAATTGTTATCCTCCTGCCTTAGATTCCTAAGTGTTGGTTTTATGGGTATATAATACTATGCCTGGTGCTTAACAAAAAGTGCTTAAAATCTATTCAATTTTATTTAAACAGAAGTATTTAGAAATCTGTTTTTAATTTTTAAAAATTTAATTGTATTTTTTAGATAAAGTCTTGCTATTTAGCTCAGGCTGGCCTTGAACTCTTTAGTGAACCCAAGCTAGTCTTCAACTTGAGATCTTCCTGCCTGTGCTTTGTGAATACTGAGATAAGAGGTATGTATGTATCATCATAACCAGTTAAAAACTTTTTTTTCCTTTTTGATGGTACTGGGTTATGAACTGAGGGCCTTGCGCTTGCTAGGCATACCTCCAAACCTCAAAAGTGTTCTTGCATGTTTTTGGGTTCCGATTTTTAATGTGACAGAGTAAGATAATGATATGGGATATTGAGTAATAATCAAATAAAGTCTTATTAGGAGAGGTGATAAGGGACCCGGAAATTACACCTCAATAATTATTTACTATACAGATTTCACAAAGTATTAGGAAGATTTTTTTTTATGCATAAGGTCTGATACCTTACTTACACTTTCTTATTTTGAGTAAATTTCAAGGTCAACCCTTTGAGTTCAATGACATTTTAGAGGAGGAAGTTGAAACAGCAAAGTTAAGGGATTATCTAGGATCACAAGCCTGTAAGCTATGAAAGCAGAATCCAAGTGATTCCAAGTCTTTTGTGTTTTTAAATAGCAGGCCAATTGAAAAGTGATTTAATTTAAAACACATACGCATGTATGCACACACAGAAACAGGCACATACTTTTATTTCTATGTAGTCTTCTAGGAATATACATTACCAATCAGAAATTATACAACTATATTAGGCCTGTTCACTTTGTAGTTGTAGAATGAAGCAGTGTATTAGCTTTGTGTTACTGTAACAAAATACCTGAGGTAAATAACTGAAAGAAAGAAAGGTTTATACTGCCTCATGGTTTTAGAACTTTCAGTCCATGGAGACTGGCCCTATTGCTTTGGGCCTGCTTTA